TTGAAGTAGAGCTTCCGTCCACATATACCTTCCATACTTGGTCTGGAACTAAAGAGTCAGGAGGACGAGTCATCTCTACAATAAAGTCAGCAAAGGCTTGCCCCTTCACTGCTTTTCTAGGCTCGAAAGTAACTTCGAGGCTCTGTATTTCTATGGCCCATTTGATCATTCGTCCTGACGACTCCATGATGGTAAGGGGCCGCTTGATTGGTTGGTCGGTATACACGACGACTGCATGTGCCAAAAAGTAGGGCTTCAATTTTTTAACAGCCATGAAGAGTGCAAGACCAAATTTCTCCACTAGGGGATACCTCAACTCGGCATTTTTCAGTACGTGACTGACAAAGTAGACCGGGAGCTGACAGCCGTCCCTTTCAGCAAGGAGCACAGCGCTTAACGCATGATCAGAGACGGCCAGGTACATGTAGAGATCCTCTTTGGGCAAAGGGCTGACCAGCCTCGGCAAGGAATGCAAGTGAACTTTTAATTTCTGGAAGGCGGCCTCAGCATCCGGCCCCCATTCAAACCTTGCCTTTTTCTTAATTGCCTGGAAAAAGTATAGGCATTTGTCGCCTGATCGGCTTAGGAATCTCCCCAAGGCCGCCAGACAACCTGTTAACTTCTGAACCTCTCGGATGGTACGAGGCGACTGCATGTCAATGACCGCCTGCACCTTCTCAGGGTTCGCCTCTATTCCTCTCTGATTGATAAGGAATCCGAGAAATTTCCCAGACTCAACTCCAAATACACATTTCTTGGGATTGAGCATGACATGGTGCCGCCTGAGTGTGGCGAAAGTTTCTCGGAGGTCCGTCAGATGATCTTTCTGAAGTTTAGTCTTGACAATCATATCATCAATATATGCCTCGACGTTTCTCCCAATCTGATCAAAGAACACAGTGTTTATCATTCGTTGGAAGGTAGCCGGGCCATTCTTAAGACCAAACGGCATGACCGCGTAATAGTATAACCCCTGATCAGTGACGAAGGCCGTCTTCTCCTGATCTTTCTTCTATAAGGGAATTTGATGGAAACCAGAATAGGCGTCCATAAAACTCATCAAGGCATGACCCGCTGTTGAGTCGACCAGGTTATCAATTTTAGGCAGAGGGTAACTGTCTTTGGGGCACGCCTTGTTTAAGTCTGTGTAGTCTACACACATTCGCCAGGTGCCATTCGGATTTTTAACAAGTACCACATTTGCAACCCAGTCTGGGAAGTAACATTGCCGAATGAACCCTGCATCAAGTAATTTTTTAACTTCGGCGGCTGCCGCCTGACTTCTTTCTTCGCCATGGTTCCGCTTCTTTTGCTGTACCGGCTTCTTTTTCGGATCCACAGCGAGTTTATGTACTGCCAGATCAGGACTAATGCCTGGCATTTCATGGACTTCAAATGCAAAGATGTCCTTGTATTCTTTCAATAGGTTGTGAAAGTCGTCACCAAGGTTTCTCAGAGCAGTCGTCCCAACTTTGACTGTTCGGTCAGGACGTGAGTCGTCTAAGATCAGGTCCGCATGCTCACCAGCCGGCTGAGGGCGGAACTCATCCGGCCGCTCCTTTGCCAATGATTGCTATTTTCTTGCTTTTCTTGCGGACTCTGTCTGGGACGCCTTTCTCTTTTTGTCGCCTGTTTCTTGAACAGGCGCAATCTCCTTGACATTGTCAAGGTCTGTTTTTTCTCCACCTGACCCAGTGGCCATAACAGTGGGCTTGACATCCGAGAGATAGCACTCTCGGGCCATCCTCTGATCTCCCCTTAGGGAGCCGACTGTTCCATTATCCCTCTCAAACTTGAGCAGCATAAGAGACGGGATTATAACAGCCTTGGAATTATTCAGGGTTGGTCGACCCAGAATCATGTTGTAGGCCGAGAGTTCCTCTACTACTAGGAACCGGACTACCATGTGTCGTCCTTCCCCTTTTTCGCCCAGGCGAATGGGTAAATCTACTCGTCCCAGTGGGTGGACGACTCCTCCTCCAAACCCTATTAAAGGGTGGGAGGCCGGATGTATGCAGTCCGTCTGATATTTCAGTTTTGACAGACATTTGCTGCTGATGAGATCTGAGGAGCTCCCGGTATCTACGAGGATTCGGCCAACTCTCTGGTTGGCCACTTTACATTCAATAACGAGAGGGTCGTCATGCGGCCCCCTTACCCCTCCTAGATCCTCTTCAGTGATGACAATCTCAGGAAATGTATATTTGGACGGCCGTTCTTGGTGAACGGAATTTACATCTAACCGCCTTATATTATCTTTGTTGCCCCTAATAGTGGGGCCGCCTCCTGAGAAGCCGCCTGCAATGGTGTAGACGACTGCATCATCTGTATCGGAACTGTCGGCCTGTTGATTCTTTTTGGCCGACTGCTTTTTTGAGGAAGTGTTCCCCGTAGATTTCTTGACATAAGTGTCAAGATCACCTTGCTCAGCCAAGCGGTCTAGGTACCGCATGAGACTGATGCAGTCATTGGTGTGATGACCAACATCATCATGATAAGCACAGATTTTATCTTGGTTCCGGTTGTTTGCAGAACCCTTCATGGGGACCGTCCCTTTATTTCTTTTAGGATAAACTGGTTATCCTTGTTAAACACATACTTTGGGGAGTATGGTTTGAATTCTTTTTTCTTTTTCTGGGCCGGCTGTTTAGAGGAATCAGCCGCCCAGACCTCTTTTCTTTTCTCATCTTTGTTAGACGACTGTTTCTGTCGTCCTTCTCTTTTGTCGAACCTCTTCCCATCCGACTGTTTTATTGTACACAGATCAGTCGCCTGTATATAGGCTTCTGCTTCAATCAAGGCCTCTTGAAGAGTCGCCACCCTTTTTCGAACTAAATCAAATTTGAAGGTAGACCCGTCTTTGAGACCTCTAAAAAAGTCAGTATAAGCTACCTCATCCGGTAACCCTTGAATCTGTATTCTCATCAGGTTGAACCGCCTGATGTAAGAACGAAGCCCCTCCTTCTCGCCCTGCTGAATTGTTCCCAAATCAAGGGTCGTTTTCTTCGCAGGGATGTTCATGGCGAAGTTGGAGGCAAATAAGTAAGCAAGCGTCCTGAAGCTGTTTACACAACCAGTCGGCAGGTTGCCGAACCATTGCTGTGCGATTCCCTTGAGAGTCGCTGGGAAACACTTGCACCAAGTGGGATCATCCAACCCTTGAAGGTACATCAGGTTGGTGAATGCCATCAGATGGTCTTCTGGGTTAGTAGTGCCGTCATAGGCGCCTACTAGTACATTTTTTACTTTGGCCGGCTGAGCGGCTTCAGTAATTTCCTTGGAGAAGGCCGACGGCTGTTCACCAAGTCTAAGCAACCGTAGCTGCCAGTCCATAGGTTGGACGTTTTTTGCTGCAGGTCCACCAAATGGAGGTGGCTGCATAAAATACTATTGTTGCGGCACACATGGTAAGTTTGGTACCGCCTGGGCACTATGAAAGCCGGACTGACGGGAGGTGCCGCCTGACTGACTCTCATGGTACGACTGAGTATGCCTCATCGAGGCATTTCGCAAACTGTCTTGAAAATTTGAAGTAGAAGCCGACTATGACTTGGATGCCATCTCTGAAAACTTGAAAACTTGAGGGTCGTTTAGGGGACGCCTCTCTTCAGGAGTCGGTACAGACTTGGATGCCATCTCTGAAGTACTCTCCCCACAGACGACGCCAAATGTTTCGGGGTTTTCTGATGTCCTGCGGGAGAGTTACAATTCCGAGACTGGAACCGGACGCCTGTACCTGCAAAATAACGGAGACTCCTGAGAGCTCCGCCTCCAACGGTCAAGTTAGTACCTGATTAAGGAGTAATTAATACGGAAATTAAAGTAATAAGACCTCTCTAGGTGAGAGTGTTTAATGTTGGTAATCTGCTTTGTTAGCGAGATTAGCCGGTTATTAGTGTTCCGTAATGTTTCTGTTCTTCTCTGTTCTTCAGGTGAGATTAATTGCTTGATCCCTTTTAATGAGGATTAATTAAGTATTTATAGTCTTGAGAAGCGTGCCACTCTCTAGGTTTAGGGTAAACCTAGGGCTGACCGGGCCTCTAGACAGGATTGGGCCTTGTTGGCCGGTTTTCCCATTTGGCATGGGTGGACACGTGGCGTGCCTCGATTGGTCCGTAGAGGACGTATCTGTGATTGACACGTGGCAGGCTCCTATTGGCCTACGTGAAGGACACGTGGCGGAACCTGGTTGGTCCACTTGTCAGACGGTGATTGGTGGATAAAAATCCCCTAATCACTAACTAGTTCTGTGCATGCACTAACAAGCAGGTTTGATAAGTTCCAAGCAGGAACTTCTAACACCCCACAAGAGTTGTCTCAGTTATGTCATGTGCAGGGTCATGTTGCTCCAGATTGCCCACAGATTTGCAGAATGCGGAAGAAATGTCAATCGAGCAAGCCAATGCTTTCTACTCCTCTAACCCAAAGAGGCCTTATGAACCTTATTCCAACACCTACAATGAAGGATGGAAACACCATCCCAACTTTTCCTACAAAAACTCCCAAGCGCAACAAAACCCTCCACCACCACCTCAACCCAATACCTACAACCAACCACCACCAGGCTTCCAACAGATACCACCCAATGCCCAACAACCTATGCAAACACAACTTGTAATTATATCTTAAGATCGATAATAACTTAACTTAGATTTCGGTTTACCACAAAAGTACTTGTTTTTTTTTTTCTTGATCAGCAAATTGAAAAAAGCTAAAGCCAGGTTGCTCAACTTGCAAGGTACATTGAATTGGAAAGTACTTACAGTACAATTTGTAATATTTTAAAGAAAATTGTATTTGATAATAATAATTGCATGCATTAATAAAACAAATTATGCGCAGAACCAAATTACCAAAATACCCTTCCATGCAGTCTATAAAAAGCCATGACATGCAGCTCTTCAATCACATCCAAAAACCTACAAACACATTCACATCCTTTCTTCAATCAAAACCCTAGCTAATTAATTTAACCCCCCAAACTCAAGAAAGAAACAAAAATGGCCTCCAAATCCGCCGTTGCTTTCATGATGGTTAACCTAGCCATCTTTGCTTTTGTGTCAGCTAATGCTGCTACTTGCCCTGACTTAAATGTGTGTCTTAACATTGCCAACGAATTGGTGAATGTCCCGTTAGGTAGCCAATCAAGGACCTCATGTTGTGAGCTCGTTCACGGAATTGCCGATGCTGATCTTGTTCTCTGCCTTTGCACTAGCCTCAAAACCACCCCTCTCGGAAGTACCCTTGGCGATCTCCTTAATGTCCTTGGTGGTGTCCTTGGTGGCTTTAGTGGCAGCGACCTCCTTAACCAGGAGCTTCTCGCCATCGTTAATGCTTGTGGAGTTAACAATCCTACTCAATACAAGTGTCCCGTCTAGTGATCGATACGATATGCTAATTACGAGTTAGCTAGGGGAACTGCTCTAGCTAGCTTATTATATGTCCTAATAACTTAGTCGTTTCATTTAAGAGTTAAGAATAAAGTAGCTAGTTTAGAGTTTGAGTATCTAAGGATGATCATATCATTTTATGTATGTACTCGTCATTATTATCTAGCTATTAGTATAATATGTACTTGACGTAATTGATTTGTTCCATTTGAGGATCATCTCAATGTCGTTCGTTGTTGTTGGAGTATGAAAGAATGAAAAATCTTGAATGTTTGATGTGTTGTCTTTAGAATTATTTCATTTTACTGCCAAAAAATAACACACTTTTAAAAAAAAAAGACTTCACCACCACTTAACATTAGTTTTAAATTCAACATTTCGACCTTAGCTGTGATGTTATTGACTTAATTAATTAAATATAGCCTAAACATGTATACTAATTTACACTTGATTATCACAGAAGTATACATGAGTCATCTAAACAATTTAGAATGAAGAAGTCATGAGTTTTTAATTAACTAATTAAAGATTACCGACTACTGCACCTCAAAATTATTGAGCAAGGACATTTCGATTGCTTGGTTGCTGAAGGAAATCAGGGGAGTGGGGGCTACGTTTCAAAGATGCACGATTTTAAAGGTCTAGAGAGACCAGGTACAACAGGCTGATGATATTGCTAAGTTTTGCCGGATAAATTGTTCTAATCTGCTATAGTTTTTAGTTTTTGTTTGTTCTTTTGCTCTTGTCAAAAAAAAAAAAAAAAAAAAAAAAAAAAAAAAAAAAAATTATTGAGCCATTCTTAATTAATTAAATCCTTAATTATATCTTAAGATCGATAATAACTTAACTTAGATTTCGGTTTACCACAAAAGTACTTGTTTTTTTTTCTTGATCAGCAAATTGAAAAAAGCTAAAGCCAGGTTGCTCAACTTGCAAGGTACATTGAATTGGAAAGTACTTACAGTACAATTTGTAATATTTTAAAGAAAATTGTATTTGATATTAATTTATGCAATCTCATCTAAATAATTGTGTTTTTCTTCATATAAATGTCAATTACCACCCCTAAATGGTAAAGATTGGTAAAGATAATTAGATAATGAAAATTAGTGAATAATTGTCATTACCATGAGCATGGATAGTGACTTAACTTACAAATCCATGTACAAATTGATTCCGGTTATCAACATTTATTACCACCTAACTAACATGCAGCTAAAGTACGTCTTGCGGTTAGGGCTCTATAGCGATCCAAAATCGGATCAGACTGGACCAAAACCATTTTATCATACATTCGGGTGTATCACTCATGGTACACCCAATTAAAATACAAGAGTTATAAAAACGGGGAAAGAACATGGTGTACAACTACAATGTACACGAGAAAGAAAAAAATCAAAATGATGCTCTCCTTGATTTAAGGGATTGATTTGTTATTTATATTCCTTGATTCATGGAATTGATTTATTATTTACATTCTATATTACTTTTGATAAATTTGAGAGAGAAATTGAGTTATATAAAGAGAAATCATGGTAAAATTTGAATTTTAAAGTGATTTAATGTTATTACGAAGTTGATTAAATTGTTTCAATGAATCTTTTAATTGAAATATGTAATTGACGAATTCGTTGTTGAGAGAAAAGGTATATTTCAATTTTAATAAGCTACTTCGCTATTTTGGTGTTATTTTCTAAGGTTGAATATGATGTTCCTTATATTTTGATAAATGTTCTTTTATCACTTTTTAATTGGAATGAAATATGTTTCTAGAGTTTGATCAATATGTTCATTGAGTCTAAACTATATTACGTTACAAACAATGTTCTTTAAAGTATATAAATTGATCATGTTCTTTGGGTATCAATAATACAAATTATGTTCTTTTTATTTGAATAGTATGTTCTTAAATTTTGAATTTTTGAAATTTAATAACGAACCAACAATTCAAACCAGTTTAGACTGAAACCGTCAACCATGCCTCCTTGATGACTCAGACCAGAATCATTTGATCCAGTTCTGGTCCAAATTAAAGTTGAAAATTCAAGTCGGGTTTGTTTTTGGACCGATTTGACCCTTTTTTTTTCTAGTTTTTTAAATATTGTTATGGAAGAAGGAATTTATAAATTGAATATGAAAATAGATAACATAAGCTGCCGGTTTTTGGTAAATAAATTCCTTGCTAACATAATTAAGAGCTTGTTTGGTGCCTTTTTTTGTTTTTAGTTTTTCAAAAACAAAACCCTAAAAAAAAAAAAAAACCCAGAAAAAGTACTAATTCGTGTAGTGAAGTTTCTAATTTATTTTACTTTCAATAGGTTTGACTAAATTTAAATCTTATATGACATATATATATTTCATATGGCTTTCTAAAACAAAAATTTAAAATTGAAAAAATACAATAGTATATTGGCACCAAACTTATTGATTAACGTAAAATAATACAAAATGCATTCTTAGAGGCACTACCCATGCCAAAAAAAGGGCATACATTATACCTTTAACGCAATATATATGCTTAAAACTAAGAATAAGTAACTAGCAAGATTGTTTTAAAAAAATAGTAATTAGCAAGATGAGCGGATTAATATATATTAATCCTCCGAGACACTCTTATTGATTCGAATGCGGTCAAGAAAAAATAAAATCTAAATTTCTCTCTGTTCTCTCTCCTCTAACCTAGCCACTATAGGAAAACTTAGGGGCTGCCATCGATTTTTATCGATTGTAAGTCCCAAATTTCTTCTTCAATTTAATGTTTTGAGCCAATAAAGATCACCAACAGTATGGTGATTATACTCAGTCCCTCCATGTAAGGTTAAGTCAGTCCCTCCATGTAGGGTATAGTATTGTTTGTTTGTTTGTTTGTTTTTAGTGTGTGCAGGGATACAAATTTGAAAGATTCGTTTTACAAATTTGTGGAATTGCGGGTCTGTTGGTATAGGGGTGCAGATTTAGAAGATTCGTCTTGCAAATATGTAGATCTTGATGACCAATCAAGTTTTATCACTTTTGTGACTATATATCAATGGAGCTCCGTCAAGAACGATGCAAAGACATCTAAAATTATCTAGGAGCAGTTCAGAAGCGATGCCATTAGTTTAGGGGTGCTTAATTCTTGTATTGAGAATTTAGATCTCTTAAAGGATAAATGATTGTAAGTGCCGAATGACCATTATTATTTAATGAAATCACCCCTCCCTATTCCATTCAATATATATATATATATTAATCCTCCTGGTTGGCCAATTAGACTCTAAAATTAACCAATCAAGCTGAGTGTCAACTCCCTGAGCAATTGATAATAACAATGATAATTGTTGCATAATTAGTTGAGGAAGCCCCACTTTATCATCATGATGAACAAAAATCGTTTATCTAGTGGCAATTCTGTAAATTAATCAGCAAAATATCCCAATCAACATAACATTTTCGACTTTCGCAAATAAATTAACATTTGTAGGGTCCACATTTATTTAGAACCCAACTCGCTAACCTGGCAATGAAACCTCTTGTACGTGTTCTCACTGGAAAAGGGGTCAAACCAACTTAAGGCACATTCTAAGATTAAACTTAATTATAAAGTAGCATTTTAGTACAAATTTTACATGATAAAATAAAATCAGGAAAAGATAGATTATGTTAAATATGGAAGAGAAATATATAGAGATATGAGGGAAATTTTGTACGTTGTTGTATATTATTCCATCTAGTACGGGATATATACACAAGTATATTATCTAGGGTTTTATCATCGGATAAGATCAAATACCCAACTCTAGAATATTTTAGATAGTTATGGGATAATAGTCATCCACTTATTATTTCATAACACTCCCCCTTGGATGACTATTAAATAAAACAATAACTAAAAATTTACAAGAAAACCCGTACAAAAAGAATACATTATAATGTGCATATAAGATGTTGCCTCGTTAAAAACCTTACCAGAAAAACCCAATGGGAAAAACCATGGTTAATAAAAAAAGAGTGCAGCGCGCATTAACTCCCCCTCATGACTACATCACTTGAAATCTATTCGACGACGCAATCCAATGCCATAAGCTAACTTTTTGAATATGGCTGTTGGGAGCGCCTTAATAAACAAATCTGCCAAGTTTTCACTCGAGCAAATCTTAAGGACTCTTATGGAGATCATGAGTGTAGAAGAATTTTGGTAAATGTGCTATGTTCTATCACCTTTGATAAACCCTTTCTTAAGTTGGGCGATGTATGTTGCATTATCCTCATATAAAATTGTTGGAACTTCTTTCTCGGAGTTTATGCCATAATCTGTCTGTATATGTTGAATTACAGACCTTAACCATACACATTCACGACTAGCCTCATGGATTGCCAAAATTTCTGCATGGTTAGAAGGAATAGCTGCAATTGTTTGTTTCATAGAAACGCCAAGAAATAAAAGTACCTCCACACATAAACACATATCCAGTTTCTGATCTAGCATTATGAGGATCAGACATGTGCCCTGCATCTGAAAAAATCAATCAAACCTTCTTTGGATAGGTTAGAGAAAAACAAACCCATATCTTTCGTACCATGAAGGTAACGAAGTTTATGCTTAACCCCATTTTAATGCCTTCGGGTAGAGCATGAGTGAAATCTTGCTAACAAATTTACTGAAAATGATATGTCGGGTCGTGTATGACTAGCAAGATACATTAATGCCCCTATTGCACCTAAATATGGTACTTCAGGACCAAGAATTTCTTCATCATTCTTCGGAGGTCGGAAGAGATATTTTTCTACATCAAGTATTCTAACAACCATAGGGCTACTCAATGGTTATGTTATATCCATATAAAATCTTTTAAGAACCTTTTCTACGTATGTTGACTAGTGCACAAGGATTCCATTCTGTAGGTGTTCAATTTGTAACCCTAAGCAACACTTAGTTTTTCCAAGATCTTTCATATCAAATTCTTTCTTAAAGCACTCTATTGTTATTGAAATCTTCTCAAGAGTTCTAATAATATTCAAATCATCAACATATACTGCAATTATGACATGTCCTGATACAAATCTCTTTACAAAAATACATGGGCATATAGGGTCATTCTTATACCCTTCTCTCAACAAATACTTACTGAGACGATTATACCATTTTCTCCCTGATTGTTTCAATCCATATAGAGATCTATTCAATTTGATTAAGTACTGTTCTCGAGAACCTGCATTTGCTGCTTCCTGCAGTTTAAATCCTTCTGGGAGTTTCATGTAAATGTCATTATCTAGTGGGCCATATAAGTAAGTTGTGACTACATCTATCAAGCATAAATCAAGTCCTTCTCTTATTGCTAGATTGATTAGAAATCTAAAAGTAGTTGCATCCACCACAAGAGAGTATGTCTCCTCATAATGAATACCGGGTCTTTGTGAGAATCCTTGTACAACTAATCGGGCCTTATATCTTACAATATCACCATTTTCATTTCTTTTTAGTACAAAGACCCATTTTTATCCCACTAGTATCATACCTTCAGATGTACGGACTACAAGTCCAAATACTTCTCTTTTTTTGAGAGATTTCAATTCAGTTTCAATTGCTTCTTTCCATTTTGGCCAATGGCTTCTTTGTCTACATTCATCAATGGATTTTGGCTCATGATCCTCATCATCATTCATGACATCTAATGCCACATTTCATGCAAAAACATCATCGACGTCGATTTGGTTTCGGTTCCATGTAATTCCAAACATGAAAAAATTTGATGAAATTTCTTCATTGTCAGGTACCTGAATATCTCTTTCCATCATGTCTAAGATCTCTCTGGATATCCTTCAAAATTAATAACTTCCTTGGTCTGTCCATTATCAATTATTGCTCCTTTTCTTTTTCGACGATTTTTATCTTTGGAATCGATGGGTCTAACACGCTTCAGGCGTGCTTAAGAATCATTTCCAACTTGAACTTGTCCTTCTGGGACATCAATCTTAATCGGAGCATTTTCAGCTGGTATAAGTGACTTTGTTACTTTCTTTGGGTTAGTAAAAAGGATAAATTTCTCTTTACTCACCTAAATTAAAGTTACCCTTACTACGTTCACCAATAGTTAATCTTTAATCAATTGAAAGTTACCCAATAGTTAAAAATAAAGAGAACTATGTTTAAGTGATTCATTTTCATGTTTAAACCAAACAAATGAAAAGGAAACAGTTTATGATTCCTTTCCTTCTATTTATTCATTTTCTTTCCATTCCATTTCTAATATTCATACCAAACACCTCGACCCTAATAGTGTTTTGTTCATGTGAAATTATGCATTCTTTTTATTTCATGCGGTGATCTAACTCAAGTTATTTCTTTTGTGTAAGATTTTTTTTTTTTTTTTTTCTCTAGACTTATACCTCAAGCCTATGAGGTTAAGAAATTGCGAGAGAGGGCAGTGATGTATAACTTGTACCAAATCTTTATTATGATAGTGTTTATATCCACTTTGCAACTGTGATTCAACTATCATTTTAATCTTTAGATTAAGTTAATTCTTTGACATGGTATCAAGAGGTAGTGTGGTAATAAGATCATATCACATGTTTAAATCTGATTTAACCCATTCCTCATTTTCAAAGTGGAGTATTTAGCTTTTCATATGAGGAGAGTTATATTGTCTTTAACCAACAACTTAAATAATTTTTTGGTTAGTTGAATTGTTATATATTTTGAATAATTTCATATTTTTGACACTTTATATTTACTAAAATAAACGAAGTACGATCTATAAATTAGAGAATATTTATACATTCATTGATTCATACTCAAAAACATACAATAGCAACTATGTATAGTCGTGAAGACATATAATAGCATAAAACATTAAAGATTATTCATTAATTCATACCCCAACGACAACAAACGAAATTGAGATGATCCTCTGAGGAGTAAATCAATAACGTAAAAGTACATATTATAGTACATATTAGATGACTAATAGCTAGATTATGATGAGTACAGTATATGATATAATCATTAGGTATACTGAAACTCTAAACTAGCTAATTTATTCTTACACAAAACGACCAAGTTAGGACATGGTAAGGGACATATTTGAAAACTTTGAAGAGTAAGCTAGCTAGCTAGAGCAGTACCACCCTTGGCTTAGTTGGCTAGCTAGTAATAAGCATATCGTATCGATTTATCAAAAGACAGGACACTTGTATTGAGTAGGATTGTTAAATCCACAGGCATTAACGACGGTGACAAGCTCCTTGTTAAGGAGGTCATTGCCAGTAAGGCCCCCAAGGCCACCGAGGACACCGCCAAGGGCGTTAAGGAGGCCACCAAGGGTGCTTCCGAGAGGAGTGTTTTTAAGGCTAGTGCAAAGGCATAGACCAAGATCAGCATCGGCTATACCTTGAATGAGTTCACAACATTCAGTCCTGGATTGGCTACCAAACTCGGCAGTCACCAAACTATCGGCAATGTTGACACACGCATTTAGGTCAGGGCAAGTAGAGGCATTTGTTGACACAAATGCAAAGATGGCTAGGTTAACCATCATAAAAGCGACGGCGGATTTGGAGGCCATTTTGTATGATTCTTGAAATTGAAGGGCTAATAAGGGTTTTGATTATGCTTAAGCTATTCAAGTATTAGAGAGAATGTGTTTGTTGGTTTGAGATGTGATGGAAGAGCTGCATTTCGTGGTTATTTATAGATTGCATGAAAGGGTGATTTGGTAATTTTGTACTGAGTGTAAATTGCTTTATTAATGTCTAATTATATTACTACTACGTACTAAGTACGTACTTCGTATTAGAGAGCATATTAAGGTATGTACCTTGCAAATTGAGTTTCCTTTAATTTAGATCTGCTGATTAAGAATCGAGTAAGCTCATAGGACATCACGCACATATGTATTTGTGCAAATACTTTTACAGTAATCTTTTAATCGCCATGTATTCTTTTGAGAGAACGAAGTTTATTGCAGATTAAGGCTCTGTTCATTTCACTTTAAAAAAAAATATTTAGTAAAAATAATTTTATTTCAGTAAAAATAATTTCATTTCAGCAAAAATATTTTCAATCCAAGAAAAATATATTTAGTTCAGTAAAAATGATTTCAGTTCAATAAAAATCAGTAACTTTGAAAAAGAAATATAACAGTGAATCAGTAAAAATATTTTTTAGTTTAGCAAAAATAATTTCAATTCAGTAAAAATAATTTCAATTCAGTAAAAATAATTTAAGTTCAGCAAAAATAATTTCAATTCAGTATGAATTATTTAAGTTCAATATAAATAAGGTGAAATGAATAGGGCCTTATTGTAACATTAATTTGTTTAGATTATAATTCTCTGAATCTCTTCCTTCAGTACATACATACGTCTACTTTTTTTTTTTTTTTCTTCTTCCCTCTTTATATTTCTCCTCTCCTAAAATGTTAATTATCCCTTACATTGCAATTAAAAAAATAAATTATTACGAAGCATTAAGTAGACATCATATGGCATATCCCATGCATATCATGCTAGGGAGCTTCCTATCTTATTAAGTTATGAGGTCACTAATTAATTAAGGATTGGCTCAATAATTCTAGTGTTTGCCGGTAATGTAGTTCAATTATTCATTAAGCACGTACATACATATATACCATTTGTACTGTTAAGGCCATCTGGCCATGTAGTTTCCTAGCTTCTTAAGTAAAGGAATGTACGAAATAAAGGCTCAATTTTAGGGGTGGTTTAATCAAGGTTCATATTACTCATCCTTTAGTTTATCTAGATGGGGTGACTCGTGATTTCTTTTATAATAATCAAAGTGTAAATTTTGTGTATAAATTTTAAGGTTGTATCTCGTTAAGTCAATAACATGTTCAACATGATTGACTGGGTTTGAAGATATGTGGTGGTATTAGATAAAAATTGAAATGAATATAAATTGATCCAGCATAATAAAGGTTTTTTTTTTTTCTTCATATGTGCGTCAAATCAATGAATAATACAGACAAACATATTTCTACTTTAAACACATGAAGAGCAAGTGAGAACGACCAAAATATTAAAGTAGGTTGTATTACATCATTCAATTTCCATTTAAAAAAATTATTAGATATTATCTATAAAAGCTCCATCTTGGCGCACCTATATATTGTTATTATAACTTAGAGGTGATAAAAGACACCCCGCCATGGTTTACTATCACTTGGCTAATGACATGGCGCCATAACATAAAACACATTGATAAAGATTTTGTTCTCACTTCACACATAATGAGCAAAGTATTGTACATGAACCGGCGACCTCATGTTCGTCCTGTTCAATAAGTGAAGCTCATATGATCACGGTTGTCGTCTAGATCTTCACCTAGCTAAGAGATCTCTGACCTGGAGGTCTGTCCAAAGGAGGTCTCTTAGGCCTATTTGGATAACAAAATCAAGAGTGGTATAACATTCAAAGATTAATACAAATGTAGTGCTCAATTAAGTCAGTATACACTGCAATGTGATCATACTTCAATGAACTTAGCTTAACATGCCATGGGAGTATGGGACGACCACATTGCCCCTGTATACCAATTATCAAAAGAAATAAATATGCATGTATTACTCCCCCGTCCCATATTATAGTTCTTGTTTTAATAATTTGGAGATCCAAAATGTTATTCCTTTTTCTATTTTTGGATAGTATTTAAAAACTATTATACCTTTATTTTTTTAACTTTATTCATTGTATTTCCTATATTACACTTGAATTTCCCACTTATTTTGTACTTTTTTCCACTTTCTCTCTCTAACTTTTATCAATAATTATACAGAAAAATTAACAAAAATAATCCCAACTTTCGCCGATTCGATCCAAATAATCCCAACTTTGGATTATTTTTAAATAATCCGAACATTGGGGGGTATTCGCTTTAAACGTTCCCAACCGATCAGCGAACCTGTTATATCAGGTTACGGAGACACGTGACACCACAAGATGGGTTGATTTTTTTTTTTTAAAAAAAAAGAAAAACTTAAAAAAAATTAAAATGAAAGTAAAAAAAGACAAGCCACTGACAACCCTCAATACCGCTGGTGTTAGCTGCTTCTGGAGCCTCCAACCACCACCGCTGACCTTCCCTCACGCCGGCGCCGACTTCCAGACCATCCTTCCCTCACGCCACGCCAGCGCTTCCTTCCTGCTTTCCCCTAAATTGCCTAACCTCAACCGCAAATAAACTAGAAACCATAAAAAAAAAAAAAAAAAGAAACCAGCCCACCACACAAACCCCCCAAATCGGTGCACCCCCACCCTCGGAACCCTTACGCTAGGGTTCTGAGGGTGGGGGAGCGCTGATTTGGGGGGTTTGTGCAGTGGGCTGGGTTTTTCTTTAAGTGTTTCGGGTTTACATTTGGAGGTTCACGATGGGGGTTTTGGGGGAAAAGGCCACTCTAAGGAACTGGCAAGGGCCGAGGAGGAAGAATTGGTGTTCCAATATGGACCATGGCTGCGTGCAACTCCAACGAAGAAATCAAAGTTCAACCTGTTTGAGAGGGAGAAGGAGAAAAAATGGAGAGAAAATCTAAATGCCTGCTCCTTTATTAAGCCGAAAGGTTTCAATGACCCAGGTGTTATCAAATTAGGGCCTCCAGGGGCTACTCGAAAATTACTATTTGATTCACCAAAGACCTCCAATGATTGTAATATGCATGAACCTATATACACTGCTAGAGTAGTGCTAGGCAAGTTCGCTTGATGCCTGAAAAAGCTGAAGGAACCTCAATGTTGGTCTTACGACCTAAGAGTATTGATCTGCACAATGTAGAAGTTCCAGTCCAGACTAGCAACTCGGTGGAGGGATATATTAATGAGAGTATGCCTGACTATACCCATGTCTAGCAAAATTGTTGTACCTGCTACAAACCCACCCCCCGCAGCACCTCCCTTGACAGCATTGATACCAGGCATGTCATGCACATTGATTAGGCCGAGAATATGAAAGGTGTTGAAGGCCACAAAATAAAAGAGGGAGGGTGGAAGAGGAAGGATAAAGCTGCTATATTACGTAGCAAGTAAACCACTAATGCGACAAAAAGCTTGACAAACTCAAGGAACCACAAAAGAAGTGTAGTGGTGGACCATTTGAGCAGCGAGAAGGTGAAGCTAGTTGACTCTTTGTCCGGAGACGGAATAAATCAAGTAGAGGGTGTTGGTCACAACCAACCCCTCGAAAAACAATGAATGCTTTATGTTGGAATGTTCGAGGACTTGGCAATCCTCGAGCAGTTGGCGCACTTCGAAAATGGTGTGCTTCTCTTACCCCTAATCTTGTTTTCTTTCCGAAACTAAAATTAATAAATTTGCTTCAGAGAATGTTAAACATAGATTAGGCTTTGATTGTGCTTTTGGTGTGAATAGTATTGGTCTCTCTGGTGGCTTATGTTTGTACTAGAATAATAGCATTGTAGACTTTGTGCTTATTTCTTTCTCTGATCATCATATTTGTGGAAAAGTAATGGAAGGAGATATTTTTAGATATTTTATTGGCATTTATGGTTGGTCGGCTACTGCCGAAAAATACAAAACCTGGCTTCTTATTAAATATCTTTGTGATAAGCTTGATGGCCAGATTCTTTTTGGAGGCGACTTTAATGAAATTCTTAGTATAGAGGAGAAGGAAGGGGGCGCTGATTCTGAGCGCAGAGCTATTGGTGATTTTTGTGATGTTCTTGATGAATGCAGCTTGCCAAAACTTGGCTTCGAGGGTTATTGGTACACATGGGAAAAAGGCGTTTCTTCTAATACCATTGTTCGAGAGAGACTTGACCATTGATGTGGCAACGAAGTGTGGTTTTCTTTATTCCCAAACTCTTTTGTAGAACATTTTATTCATTTCAAATCGAACCATACTCCCATTAGAGTAAGGCAGAAGCGTCCCAAGCGAAAAAGGAAAAGAAGAAAAAAATCTTTTAAGTTTGGAACGACATGGCTTCTTGACATGGAATGTGATGAGAAGGTTGTACGACAGACTTGGAATGATACAGAGGGATTCTTGATGCTTGATCGGCTAGGTCGTTTGCTTGGTTCTTTGAGAAGTTGGAGTGGTAAAAAATTTATGAACTTCAACAAACAAATTGATGATCTTGAAGAAGAGCTCAAAGCTGTACAAGAGGGTGCGATGTCAGAAACCAACATTCGGCTTGGTGTGGAGATCGAGAGAAATCTTGAAGAGGTGTATGAGAAACAGGAGGCCGACTTATTGGTATCTGAGATCGAGGTTGGCGGAGATTAAAGACGAGGAATAGAACACGAAGTACTTTCATCATAAGGCATCCCAAGGAAAAAAGAAGAATGAAATTGTGGGTTTGCTTAATGATATAGGAGAATGGTGTACTGATGGGGATGATATCGAAGGAATAGTGCAAAGTTACTACTCTAATCTTTTTGCTGCGGGTCTACAATCCGAGGCATCTTGTGCTGAGGTTCTTGCTATCATCACCCTGTCTATCACTAGTGAAGTTAATGAGTAGCTCCTACGGCCTTTCACGAAAAAACACATCTATGCAGCGATTTGTGATATGCACCCATGCAAAGCTCCCGAGCC